CACTTGGGGCAGGACGTCATCCCCGACCTGGAGTGGGCACATCTGAGCATTTACATTGTGGAGTAATGCTGCTAAGTGATATTCTTTACTATCATCATTGTTATTGTTATTATTATTGTACTGAGATGTATATATACGCTGCATATATAAATACAGCCAGCAAAAGACACGTCACAGCAAAGAGTGTAAATACGTGCTGCTTAAAGAAAGACAACAAAAGCTTTAGTTTTTAACAACCTTAAAAAAACAACACAAACTTATAAAATGCCCCCAAAAAATTACAAGTACAAAGGTTTTTAAAGGTAACTTCTACTATCTCACATTACTAACGGCTCTAATCTAGAGAAAAACAACATTTAAAATGAGAATTTTGGAGGTTTTGTTCTGTCAGCTCCTTTTCTGTTAAAGCTGATTCTGGATGTTTTCTTTACTTTCTTTAAAAGTTTTTATCCCCTCATTCAAAAATTTGAATGCATTTATTTTTGCTGTGTTTTATCTTTCATGTTTTCATCTGAATTCCAAACTTGCAGCATTTTACTGCTAATTTGGAACATTTTTAAATTTATTCCTCAATTAAATGTTGTGTAGCTGCAAAATAAACTCCACCTGTAGAAGAACCTCTTTATGTTCACGATGTCGAAGCATTCGTATGCTAGTGGCACAGTGCTCTAAACTGCACAGTTGGCATTGAGCACCTATAATTTCATTATACATGTACAATAACAGTAAAGTGCTATTCTATTCTATTCTATTCCAGTGCCACCTCTCATTATATTTACTTCAAATGTTAATTTAAAAGTTAATTAACATTAACAGAGAACTTTTTCTCCCTAATAAATAAATTAGACTTCTAAATGAATTTGAAGAACTGGGTTAGCTAATGACAAAACCCCTGAGCCCCCAAAGTAAACCTTTTATTATGAGACCATATTTATTTGGCCTTAACTTCAAGCCTTTATCCTGTTCAACTAAATCAGTTACATTTGTAATTCTGTTATAATTAAAATAAAAATCCTGAGCCTTGAAGATATTTGCAATTTCAATGTAAGTAAGCAATGAATATTCACAATATTCATTCACCTATTAAGCCCCGAGAATATTTCAAGCACCATTTTTTACAAGCCAGCTCACCTTCACAAAGAACATATGTG